TGCGGACTGAAGGGTCCCAGCTTCGATTCCGGTCAAGGGCACATGCCCGGGTTGCGGGCTCAATCCCCAGTAGGGGGTGTGTAGGACGCAGCTGATCAATGATTCTCTTTCATCATTGATGTTTCTATCTCTCTCCTCCTCTCTCTTCCTCTCTGAAATCAATAAAATATATTTTTAAAAATACTAATAAAGTTTAAAAAAACAACAACACATGTTTCCCCCAATCTGGAATCAAACTGACATTCAAATCCAGATGGTGTCTGGATTTACCCCCTTATGGGTCACATCTACGCAGTTTTCTTTTTAATCCTCACCTAGGATATGTTGTTGTGTGCTTTTTAATTGATTTTAGAGAGGGGGTGTGTGAGAGAATGAGAGACAGAGTTGGAGACAGAGAGAAACATTGATGTGAGGGAGAAACATCGATTGCTTGCCTCCCTGATGCACCCTGACCAGGGATGGAACTCACAACCTAGGTATGTGCTCTGACTAGGAATCGAACCTGCCACCTTCGGGTGCATGGGGCGATGCTCCAGCCTCCTGAGCTACCCAGCCAGGGCAGCATCTATGCACTTTTTTGACTTGTATCACCTCATTGGCTTCTTCCCTCTACTCAGTGATTAAGAAGAGTGGGCGCGAGCTCTGACTGGTTTGGCTCAGTGGATGGAGTGTCAGCCTGCGGACTAAAGGGTCCCAGGTTTGATTCTGGCCAAGGGCATGTGCCTTGGTTGCGGGCACATCCCCGGTGGGGGGCGTGCAGGAGGCAGCTGATTGATGCTTCTCTCTCATTGATGTTTCTTACTCTCTATCCCTCTCCCTTCCTCTCTGTAAAAAATCAATAAAATATATTTTAAAAAAAAGAAGAGTGGGCGCGATTACCCCATCACAGACTAGGCTCCCAAGGCTTCGAGGTTCAGTGATGGCCCCCCAGCCTTGCAACGGAGTGTTTCTAACTCCAACCCCAATGCTCCTCCTGGCTACCCTGAGCAGGCGAGCTGTGCTGAGCGCCTCACGTCCTTGTACAGGTGGAAACCCCAATATGTGTGACGAGTGAGAAAAGACCGAGGAATGCTCTGCTTCTGGTTTCTGCTGAGACATTTCTTGGAGACTTCTCAGCTCCAGCTCTGGACAGGATACTGAAAGAAAACCACGACAAAATTTCCCAAACTCTACAATCCAGAGAGGTGTTCACCTTTGGGAAAAAAACTCACAAAAGTGAATTTTCTTTCTTATCTCCCCTCTTCTCCCCAAGTTGGTCTTGCATAAGCAGGCTGCCCTGCCATTGGGTGACGAGGATGTCGGGGATGTCGTAAGGGAAACGCTTACAGGCACTACAGGAATGACCTGGTGCCTCGCCCACCTCATTACAATTCTAATTGGGGTGTGTAGGAGAGGCTTCTATAAATGGTAAGGCAATCCTGGGCAGGCACTCATCTCCCCACTTCTCCCTGCCATTCCCAGTGAAACGCCAAGAAGAGGAAGAGACGGCAGAAGGCGAAGCATGGCTGGTGAGTGCATGGCATCTTCTCTACCTGGTCTCAGCGGGAAGCCCGGCTCCTCCTGGGCCAGCGGAGAGGCCAGTGTCCAGCCCAGGACAGCTGCCCTGGGGGCTCTGGGGGCTCGATCTTTGTATATTAAGATTCTGTTCTTTCTTGGTAGCTGCCCAGTCCCTCTAGAGTGGTTCCAGGGGTAGAACATATGTGGGATGTAGTCCTGAGTAAGGGACAGGATATTCAGCATCCCTTTAGACCAGTGGTTCTCAACCTTGGCTGCACATTAGAATCACCTGGGAACCTTTTTAAAATCCTGATTTCTGGGCCTCATCCTCCGGAAATTTTGTTGCTTTGTTATTAATGCTGTGGCCCACCCCATAACAGAAACAAAAGTTCTGGAGCATGAGGCCCAGAAATCAGGATTTTAAAAAGATTCCCAGGTGATTCTAATGTGCAGCCAAGGTTGAGAACCACTGCTCTAGACAGATGGATATAAGCTTTGCTGTGTCAAGCCAGCTGGTACCTGCTTCCCGTGTTTCTCGGGGCACTTTTACCAGCTGTCAGTAACACAGGCAAAGAAAAGCACATCTCAGAGCCACAAGGCAGTGAGCGCGTGACAGCCTGTAAATTGATTTAAAAGAAGCCATCAGCAGCACAGGAATGCTTCTAAGTAAACTACACACTCGGAAGCAGCGGCAGCCTCTTTGGACGTGAGTTGATGAGCTGAAACCTCCCAGTAGCAGAAGAGGCAGGTGTGCCAGGCTCCCTAGGAGCAGCGCCAGGGAAGGCGGGTGGGTAAGAACCACAAGGCGTGCAGGTCCTTGAGCTCTGCGGTCACCACAGAGGATCCGGGCTCTTACTAGACAGCCCCCCCCGCTAGGCGGCATGCTGACTATCGCCGTCCTGGGCGCTCGGCCTAGTGCCTTGCCAAACCCAAAAAAAGGCATGAACCCAGCCTGTAAAACATCGTGAATGGTGGTTAGGGCCTCAGGAAGGTTTGCCAAAGAAATCGCTGAGCATCGTACAAAAGGTGAATGCTGGTTCCTTCAGGACAGGGCAGCAAAATGGACACCACCTCCCACCCACATTTCCTGCAGCGAACATGTGGCAACACGCTGGGTTGCTAAGGAGAGGAGCTTGGGATCCTGTCGACTGTAGCAGGAGATGTCAGCTGTCACCGAGGCCTTCGCCCTCCCCCAGGGGGAGGAGGCAGTCCAGGAAGGGCTAGAGACTTACCAGATCACTCGGAAAGTGGGTGGCACAGCCCAGACCCGGTCCCAGCAGCACCCTGGCCACTGTGTCCTGTTAGCAGAGCTGGTCCCTCACTTGAGCTCTCCCAGCAGTCTCCGCCTTCCCTGCCAGCACCAAGCCTCGGGCTCCGGTTGTAAGATGAAGGGCTTGAAATAGATGGACTTTCAGGTTCCCTCCGGTCCTGGCGACTCTCACCTTGAGAAGAAGCCAGGGACTGAGAGCGATGGGCCCAGCAGTGCTCACCCCCTGGGGCCGGGGCCGGGCGTGGGCCGTGGGTGGGTGGATAGCCCCGGGCCCGCCGCTGCGCTGCCTGCCGTGAGCCCGGCTTGTGTGCCAGTGCCTGTGAGTCAGGAGGTCTTAACCTCTTAGAGCTCAACGTTTAAACCAACCAGAGACCTTCTGAGGTCACAGCCCAACAGAGACAATGGCTGGTTGGAAGGAAATAAGTTTTTAAAAAGGCGGGGAACAGACCAGAGAATCTTTCTTCCCTTCCGTTTGCCAACATGCAGTTCCTAGCTCAGCTCCTGGTCGCTCAGCCACAAAGTGCTCAGTCAGGGCCTCTGGAATGAATGAAAGTATTCATTGGACACCCAGGGAGAGGGGCCCCAGCGGGCGCAGTGGGAGGCAGAGATGAAGGAGCTGTGTCTCTGCCTGGCGTGCTTGGTCAGGAGCAGTTTGTGGCGTGAGGAGTGTTCTGGGCAGCGGGGAAGGGAGGTGGGTGGGTCAGCAGGTGCAACCCAGGGGACTATGGGTCCATGTGCATAGGTTGGAGAGAACTGTGTCCAGTTCCCAATTTAAGCTTCTTGCTGGAATCAGCGGGGGTTCGGTGACTGCCTCCTGGTGGAGAGGGCAGCTGGGCTATGGGTGGGGCGGTGGGGGTGCAGGAGGGCCTGCCAGTGTTCTGCATGAAGTTCAGTTGACCTTGAACACCACGCATCTGAACGGGGAGCAGATTTTCTTAACTCTCACACCTGAGTTGTTCAGGGTCAGCTCCTCAGCTGGGAATCCCTGTGTGCAAAGGTACCTGTGGATTTTCAACTGAGGGCAGCCGGCACCCCTCCCCCCAGCCCTGCAACGTGGCGCCCTCTGTCTGCTGCCCACTGAGTCCAGGCCCCAGGGTGGATGGGAATGCAGGCCGTGGGCACAGACCCTGGGCTCCCTGTGGAGTGGAGGCCTCGCTCCCCTTCCCCACATCCACTCGGAGGCCCCGGGTTTGAGGCAGAGCTCTCAGGGTTCAAACATGAACCTCAGGCCCTGCCTGCGAGAGGCCAGGCCCTCCCTGCCGGGACTAACACTGGCCGCCGGGGCAGGAGGCTCTCTGCCGACCATGTTGCTGGGCAGAGTGCTGGCCTGGCTGCAGAGACTTCCCTTCTCGGGCCTCGTTCCTCAATCTGCGAGGACCATTCCAGGCCGTGGGTCTGCCACAAAACGTCTTTCCTGGGAGCTGGGACACAGCGGCTCTTTCTCTCGGGGTCCTGCCTCGTCCTGGCCTGGAATCCAGGAGGGGCCCCGGTCCCCCTCACACTGGGCTACAGCTTCTTGGCTCAGTGGGGCCTGAGCCCCAGCAAGATCTGTGGTCGCTCTGAAAGCAGAGAGCACCCTGGGCTCGGAGGCTCATGGCTTCAGGCACTCGGCCTTTGTGATGGGACACGCTGCCTTTTCTCCCCCCTCCCCACCCCAGTCCCACCTGCTTTCTTTCCTCTGGGGCAGCAGCTGCTCCCAGGTCAGCGGACACAGGAATGAGGGCTGCCCGTGCTTCCACCGGTTACCTGGGATTAGTACAGACTTGGGGTGAGCCCACGGGTTACAACTACACGTCCAGGGACGAGTCTGGATTGACTCTCCGCTCAGTCCCCCACTTGCTGAGTGATCTTGGACAGGTTACTCAACCGAAGTGTCTCAGTTTCCTCATCTCTAAAACGGGGTTACTGCGGAGCCCACCTCATAGGTGCTCAGTCCACACAACTCATTCATTTGGGGGAACTTTTCATAAAGCCTAAAGAAAAACCTTATGAGATGAAGTCCATTTTCTAATCGAGGGCGATTCTCAGGGGAACCTCTCCCACAAAGAGCTCCCCTGCCCCCCTTGCCAGCCCCCACACACTTCCAGGTCCCCAGCGAGCTGTTTTTGTTCACCTCGGATAACTTGTCCTCCGTTCCGCCTCCACCCCGCTGGGCCGTACTCCACGGGCGGGGCATCACTCTCCCCCCCCCCCCCCCCCCAGGGCCCACATGCCGGCTGGGGTGTGAGCCAAAGGGAGGAAAGTATTTCCCCATCGCTCAGGAATGAGGCCCCACAGTCTGTGGTCGGGGCTGAGAGATGGGCTCACAGAGAGTCGACATTCTCCTCGTGTTCCTCCTGCGGGAAGAGGAGGCAGTGAGTCCCCGGTCCCCACCCCATCCCACCTCCTCCCAGAGGTGCGATGTGGCTCAGGTGAGATAATTAATGTGAAAGAGTTTTGATAAGTGTAAAACGATATATTAACCTAAGGTCGTCATTCTCTGTCCTAGGTGCTTAGTAGAAACACCAGGAGAGTTCAAAATAAAAATACGAATGCTGTCCCTAAGCCAGAAATTCTCATTTAACTGGTCCCGGGTGGGCTCAGGCCCATCCAAACTCCCCAGGTGCCTCTCAGGTGCAGCAAGGGTAGGAACCACGGGTCTGAGTCAAGCACTCTTAAGTGAACTTGTCCAGGAGTCCTTCTTCCTTCCTCTGCTCTCCCCCGACCATGTTGTGCTGAGACAGGCCGTGGGCTGTGAGCGGCCCGTTCTCTCTGGCAGCTTCCTGGAGCCATGCCAAGTCATGGCCAGCCCAGCCACCTCGGTTGGCTGCAGGGTGGCAGCTCAGAGTCAGATGTGGTCAGACAACACTGGCTTCCAGTCTGGGCTTGGGTGCAGGCTCTGCCTGAGTGTGTGATATTCGGCAAGTGACGTCACCTGACTGGACTTTCAAATCCCTCATCTGTGAAGTGGGAATAATATCTCACAGGGTTTTGGACATAATGCAAGTAAAATGCTTAGCACAGCGCCTGGCACAGCGGACGTCCTCAATGGCAGCCCCCCAAAAAACTCAAACCCTCCTGTGTTGCTTTTGTCATTATGTGTGGGACCCCAGGGGACTTGCACCCCCCAACTTCTGGAGGTCCAGGTGCTAGTGATGAGTACATGTTGGATCTGAATACTAACCCCACAAGGATGTGCAGGCTTCACTCTCTCCTTCTACATATGGAGAGAGTATGTTCCGGGGACACTGAGACCTTGCCTAAGGCCTCAGCCTTCCAGACAACCAGTCCAGGGTCCTTCACTTCATCCCAGGAGCCTGACCGGCCCCTCACTCAGCCACTGTCGGAACCCCCCAGCTTCTCTCCAACTGGGTACCAAGCAATCCTACCACGTGTGCTGCACAGGGATTGCAAATGTCTGAATGTGGGGAAAAGATAAAGGGAATGGCACAGGCCCAAGAGAGAAGGAAGTGAGAGCTAAGAGGAAAGCACCTGTTCTTGGGGCTGGTGGTGGGGCCAGCCAGGAGTTGGAGATGTTCCACGGGCTCAGGGGGCATTGAGAATGACTCATAGACCCTCAGTTACCAGGATCTAAGACCCGGATTCTGAGCCAAGCTCTGCTTCTAACCCCGCTCCCTCCACCCCCTGGTAACCTCAGCAGATGGTTTCCCCTTTCGGGGTCTCAGTTTTGTTACCTGTAATATGGGAATATGGGATTACATCACTGTTTTTCAAGCTGCCATGTGTCACCCATTAGTAGGTTGTAAAATCATTTAGTGGATTAAGACCAGCAATTAAAATGAAGTGGAAGAGGGAAATGGCAGTAGGAGTTCGTGTTGTTCTGTGAAACTTCACGTCGGGTATAGACCCCTGTAGAGAAACACTGTGAAATGTATTTCTTAACGTGGTCTCTAAAAATGCTAAAGACACTTGGCTGGATTTTTAATATATTTATCAGCCCTCATCAACTCTAGAAATCTGTAAGATACAAATACGTCTTTGCTTAGAGAAGAGACACAGGGAATAAGGTCTGGGCAGGTGGGGGAGACCAGCCACTGGAGTATCAGTTATGTCATGTTGGGCCATCTGCCAGCAACTCTATGCTGTGGTCCTCCCAGGAAGAGGAGGCAAAAACCCCAGTCACTCACCCACAGCCCAGTCCCACTTATCTGTCTGCTGTAGGTGATTCAATTACAGAGTCAAGCCGATAAGGACTGAGGCAGCTGACTAGTCACCCCCTTTCACAGTCTGGACTCTGTTCTGCGCTTCTCATGTTACCCCTGCCAAAGGTGGACCCCAGAATAAGTTGGGGGGTTACATCATCAGGTATATGTGAATGACAGTGAAGCTCCAAATAGCAATGGCTTAGAGAAATAAACGAGATAGATGTTTCCTTTTCCTTACATAACAGGTGTGGATGTAGGCAGTTCTGGGCAGAAAAGGCAGCTGCACATGCCCCAGGGGCCCGGGACCGTGCAGTCCCCACACTGCTGTTCCCAGGGCACGCATGGTCCAGGATGACTACTATCATCCATGGTCCAGCTCTGTCCATATCCCTCCACAGTCCGGGCAGCGGGATGGAAGAAGGGGGAGGTAAGCAGGCTAAGGGTATTTGCCAACTATTTTGAAAAAGAAGTTGAGAACAGGTATTCAAACAAATACTTGCATATAAACGTTCATAAGAGCCACTGGGCTCTGGGAGGAAAGGGCGAAGCCTCTGCCATTGGCTCGGCCACAGCATATAGTGCATACCCCTGGACAGAGCAAAGAAGGATGTGGACCTGTTGAAGGGGAGGCAGATGCCACTATAGATGTGGAATCCCTGAACCCCTCTTTCCTCACCCCTGTGTTTGGCAGAGGCTGTCTGGGGACATTCTTTCTGCTCTCGAAGAGCTCGTGTCTGGAATAGTGAGCTTCACCTGGAAGAAGACAAGCATCCTTTTGTGTTTAAGAGGGAGGTGAAGAGTCTCTGTAGCAAGCAGGCCAAACTCACGGCCCACGGGCCGCATGCCTCATTTATTTGGCCTGTCTTAGCCTTTGAGTTTGACCTGCTTGCTCTAGAGGGTTCATGTTATCTGAACCCACCTGGTCCTCAGGGCTCTTCTTTTTTCTCAAATAAGACAAGGAATAAAGTTCTACCAAACGTCAACCTGCAGGGATGCACAGCAGGTCGTGAGCAAGGTTGGGGAGGAAGCAGGGGTTTGAAAGGTGGGACCATTGCTCTAGAGAGAACTAGTATCTACACATATAGGGGTTGCCAGAGAGTGTCTAAGATCTGGGCTGTCTCCATTCGCTATTTATGTCCAGGAACGTTCATCTTCCCCCCTCCCTCCCTCTGTCCCTTCATTCCTCTGTGTGTCCTTCCCTGAATTCAATAGATACTTGTCAATTGCATGAATGTTTTTGTTTCTCTGATTTTGTGCAAAACCTTAATGTATTCTTTCAATAATTACTTGCTGAATGAATGAATGAACGAATGAGAGGATGTGTGAATGAATGAATCTTTAGTACCATGAGCTGGTAGCAAGACCACCTTCTGAGCACCCCTCTCCTCTCCGGGAGCTTTGTCTGGCTCACCACCCCAGAGGGGCTGGATTTCACTTGACAGAGTATCTATGATGTGTCCTCTGCCCATCTCCAAAGCTACTAGAAGGGGAGCCCCCAGCCCCAGGCCTGCCCTGGAGCCACACTATCTCCACCTCACCTTTCCCTTGTGGTCAGAGCCTTTGCTCTAGCCACATAACACACCTGCTCTCCTGTGCCTTGGCCTCTCTTCCTGTTGCCTGGGATGCAGGCTGCTCCATTGCACCTGACAAAATTCCCTCTTCCTTCAGGGCCCAGCATCTTCATGAAGCTTTTTCTAATTCCTGAGACCGAAAGTGATTCTTTCCCGCCTGCATCTCCTAGACACCTTTGGCTGGGGAGGTCGGATTTACCCTGTTCCATCATTCAGTGTCTTACTGCTGAAGGTCTTTGAGGGTTAAAACTTATTTTCATACTTTTTACACTGCCAACATTGTGCCTAACCCAGTGTCCTGTGAATAATAGGTACTCTCTCTATATTTATTGAATAAAGGCCCCATATTCACCTTTTCTTATGGACTAAATCTTGAGGTGTAGTCATGATGGTCATGGTTTGACATTAGTTTTTGTTTGTTCATTGAACTCCTTCATTCCTTTGTTTACCTAGTTGTCCTAATGTAGTCAACAATGTGCTGGGCTTCAGAATACAAAAATCAAGAAGGCACATTCTGGTGAAGAGAGACAGACACACGTAAAGAGAAGTTGTGTCTGGTGCTGGGATGTGCCTCCACACTCGCATAGCTGTGGTCTCATCATAAAGACAGAAAAATCAATTTGGTTTGCAAAGGCATGGATGATGAAACGTCTCAAACATAACTCAGAGGAATAAAACTCTTTAAAGGTTTATGTAGGCTAACCTCCCCAGCCCTCATGGTACCGCTCGTAAACTCTGCTCAGTTGAGCTCCATCACCTCCACAATCGAGAGGAAGGGGGGAGGGGCAGTGAATTTCGAGGTGTTTGCATTCCGGTGTCATCCAGAGATCTCATGGGCCTTTGACCTGCTCCTTTACACTGCTCTTGCCAGTGAGTGTTTGAAAGTCCAATCTCTAGGCCCACAAATCCTGCCCGGAGTCATGCTATTCTCCCCAGCATCAGAGGCGCAGGCCAACACCAAGGTGTTGCATGTATAAAGCATAAAATACACAAGTAAACATTTGCTGGATGTTGGAGTGGGAAAAGGCACTGAGTGTCTAGCAGATGCAAAGGGAAAAGCAAACAAGCCCAACCAGGGCGGTGGAGTTGAGAAAACTAGACTCCTCTCCATTCTATGTGAGCCCCCATCCACCAAGGAATGGTGCTAAAAGTGGACAGAATGTGGGTGCTCTGGTTACGCAGCTCTCCTGGGTGGTTGGGTAAAGCTACACTGAGCACCTGGCCACTTCCTTGAGGGCTGAGTGACAGCTGACCAGGCAGCGTGGTCCAAATAGTGTAGGCAGAGGTTCAGCTGCTTGAAGGGCAGAGGGGAACCAACCGTTTGTGAAGTTCTCAGTATGTTCAGTCAAGGTCTTTGTATTTTAATGTGATTTCTCCTGGAAGTTTGGCACCTCGCTGACTAGTCCTTTGGTAATTTCTACCTTTCCAAATAAGGTACTATTGTTTGAAATACCTTGCCATGCCACTATTCCTTGCCTCTCAGGACCTAAGGTCTTCTCTTTTCTGTCCCACAGATTTAAAACCCCAGAATATCGACTGGCAGATGTCTGCCAATCGGCAAGCGCATAGCACAGACAATTACAACAGCCAGGAGCTCATCTTGCGACGAGGTCAACCGTTCAGTTTCTCATTGACCCTCAACCGAGTTCTTAGATCTGGAGAAAGTCTGGGGTTCATAGTCTCCACAGGTATCTGCTCCCTGCTCTCCCCTCCCCCACATACACCTGAGTAGCCCATGGGACTGTGCATCCAAGAGGTGAGGATGGTGACACTGGGGTCACTGGGCTCTGGGCTCTAGCCCAGCTCTGCCATTGACTCTGTGTGACTGTGGGAAAGTTTCTGCCTGCCTTTGAGCACAAGAATCCTAGTCTTCAAATCAAGAGGAATTTGGCCTACATGGTCTGTCTCTCTAGTTCAGCGGTTCTCAACCTGTGGGTCGCGACCCCTTTGGGGGTCGAACGACCCTTTCACAGGCGTGGCCTAAGACCATGGGAAAACACATATATAATTACATATTGTTTTTGTGATTAATCACTATGCTTTAATTATGTTCAATTTGTAACAATGAAAATACATCCTGCATATCAGATATTTACATTACGATTCATAACAGTAGCAACATTACAGTTATGAAGTAGCAATGAAAATAATTTTATGGTTGGGGGCCACCACAACATGAGGAACTGTATTAAAGGGCCGCGGCATTAGGAAGGTTGAGAACCACAGCTCTAGTTGCTTCCAGCACCACAATGTGGTGCTTCCTTGGATGAGCCCGTGGAAGGGCCCCTGTGGTTGTGTTGGAACCTGACCTCTCCCTACAGTCCAGTCAGTACGCCTTGGTTTTCATTGACCCCTTCTTCTTTTACAGGGCCCTCCCCCTCAGAATCAGCCAAGACGAGGGCTGTGTTTTCACTCTCCAGTGGGACAAGTGGTGGCAGCTGGTATGCACAGCTCATGTCCCAGAGGGAGAATACTCTGAACATCTCCATCTCCAGTCCTGCCAATGCACCCATAGGGTGGTACACGCTGAACCTTCAGGTCTTCACCCAGGGCAACAACTTTACTCTGAAACTTGGGATGTTAATACTGCTCTTTAACCCCTGGTCACAAGGTAGGCACCTAACCACCCACACTCCCAGCCATCAGCCACGCAGTGCCCGTGGAAAGGAGATGAGTGGGGTGGTTTTCATGAGCTTAGGTTTGATTAGGAAAAGTTCGTGGGATATGGAAAAAGCATAGAAACTATAAGTCAGAAGCAATAGGTTTGAGTCCCAGCTCTGCCAATTATCCAGCTGTGTGAGTCTGGACAGTCCCTCTATCTTTCTGAGCCTCAAATTATTCACCATTAAATGGACATCCTGCTATTTCCTTTGGGGGTATTGCAGGAATCTCATGATCTTTTACAAACTGCATAGCATGATCTATATATATAAAAGGCTAATATGCAAAGTGTCCCCTCGGGAGTTCGACCAGGAGACCAGGAGTTCGATCGCTCGCTATGATGTGCACTGAACACCAGGGGGCGGCGCAGAACATGACAGGCAACCAGCCACGGTGGTGGGGCGCTGAGGGAGCAAGGGAAGGAGGAGGTGGGGAGGTGGAGAGGCAGGGAATCTGATCGGCCCTGATTGCTAGCCAGGCCTAGGGACCCTATTCTTGCACAAATTTTGTGCACTGGGCCTCTAGTCTAATTATAAGGGACAATGACCACAGTACAATTCTGTAACATAGAGATAGCTCTTTCCCTAAAGAAGCAAGTGTCTCATTCCTGGGGTCTCATTTTCCGACTCTCAGATATCCCAGCTTCTCTTTCAAACTCATAGTTCCCACGATATCAGTTGGAAGCATAATAGCCCAAGGCTTCCTTCCTTGGTGGAGGTTGGGGGAAGGCTGCAAGTATGACTTGCTCCAACTCTCAGGCCAGTATTCAGGAGTGGGAGGAGGACTGTCTTATAGCTCCCTGTAGGATTCTAATCCCTGATATCTGATTTTTGTGTCAAACAGCGGATAGTGTCTTTATGAATAGCCAAGCTGAGAGACAGGAGTATGTTCTGGAAGATTCCGGCGCCATATTTGTGGGAAGCACAAATCGAATTAGCATGATTGGCTGGAACTTCGGACAGGTAAAAGGGTCATAGGGACGCTGGGGGTAATATCCCTATTACACAAGAAGCTCAGAAGCTGGCCCCACAGACAGGTGGAAGTCCCCAAATCTATCTATTTGCCTGCCCTTCTAGTCATTCATTCAGAAAACATTCACTGAGCATCTACTATGTGCCAGGCCTTGGTTGCACAGAAAGGATACCAAAGATGAATATGACAGGTTTCTTGTCTTTGAGAAGGTCACAATCTAGTGGGCAAAATCTAGTACTAATAATCAATGCAATGATGTGGTATTGGTGCTACAATACACAAATGAGGATAAGGCCCAGTAGAGACACTTGGGACAAAAATATAGTTTCTGTTCATTCATTCATTCATTCATTCATTCCTGTGAGAATGGGATGAAACTTCCTTGCTGTGTGTATTTAACCTTTCGAGAGTCCTTCATTACTATTATCACCCCCCCTCCAATCTGAAACCACGGAGTTCCCAGGTTTGCTCACCCTCCTGTACTGAGAGAGCTCTGGACGAGTTTGAGGATTGAAGGCTGGGGGAGGTGGTTGTTCCTCAGTAGCTCTCAGTTCTGGAGGCCACAGAGCGAAAGGACCCAGGCACTTGTCGTGGTTCTCGCCAGCATAGCCCCCATCCCCTCAATGAGCCAACACTACTTGCCATTTCTTTCATCATAACATATGGTTCCATTTCGAACAGTTTGAAGGAGACATTCTGAACATTTGCCTCGCGATCCTGGATAGCAGTCTGAATTTCCGCCGTGACCCTGCTCATGACGTGGCCCGCAGAGGTGACCCCAAGTATGTCGGCCGCGTGCTGAGTGCAATGGTGAGTGATAACTAGTTGTTACCACCTATCAGACCCAACTACGGGTTGGGCACATGCGCTTTTACACATGTGACCTCGTCGCAGCCTCACAAATGCCGTTGGGCGATTCCCATCCCCATTTTGCACACGTGGAGCATGAGGCTCCTCTGAGGAAAGGACTGGCCTTCACACAGTGAGGGAGCGGCAGACGCTGAACTGGAGCCGGGTCTGCCTGACTCCAAAGCCCTTTCCACGGAATCAGGAGGCCTTTCTCGGATGACAAGAGGACTTTGCCCCCTTAGAGCCCGTCAGAGCTGGGAGGGTGCCAAGCTGAGACTTGGCTCCACCCTGGGCCCCACTTGGAAAGGAGGGACGCTCCAGAGTGAGGCTGGAGTGTGACGCCCCTTTGTTTTGATCCATCCCCTCCTCAGCACCAAGGGGGTGCTTGTCAGACGAGAGAGGCAGAAGGCCAGCCCGGCTCACCATCCACATGGGGAGCTGAAGCCCCAGGAGCTGAGTGAGGTGCTCACAGCTTGTGATCTAACCAGAACGAGGCCTCGAATTGCCCACCCAGGGCTTTCCCACTCGCGCAGTCTCTCCATTTGAGAGACCTGCACCCCCCTTACACACACACACGCACACACACACACACACACTCACACGCACACACACTCACACACACACACGCACACACACACACTCACACGCACACACACTCACACACACGCGCACGCACACACACACACACACACACATACATGCACGCACACGCCGGATCCTGGGAGAATCTCTCACTCTGCACTCAGTGTGCAGAGAACGTCTCCATCAGAAAGCGTCCAACTATGGGATTAACCTGCTCAAGAGTTACAAATTAAAAAGCTGAAAGTCAGAGAGTTCTTGATCTTTAATCCTCTGAAACTAAATAATTACCCCACAGATGTCTTTAACTCCTTTTTTAATGGACTAGGCATGTCCCAAGTCTCTTCACTTTGGAGTTGGAGCATATCCAAGCTAGCAAACTAATTATGTGGTTAGAAATTTGAACAACCTTCTGACCGGATGATAAATATCTGGGGGTAATCAGAGAGGGCTCCCGGAAAGAGTGCAGTCTCGAACCTTGCAGGACAGGAGTGAGGAGGCCCAGGGGACGTGGAGGCACTGAGGAGACGGGTAGGAACCAGGGTGGCTGGCAGAGAGAAAGCGGGATGTGGGCTGAACCTTCAAAAACAAGGAGCCAAAGACAAGGTGCAGTCAGGTGACTTACGAAGCTGAGTCGCCTTGGCCCAGGAGAGGATGGGTGAGGCCAGCTGGCTCCAGAGCTCCAGCGGCTGCTGACTCACTCTCACCCTGGGGACAAACCGCTTGACATCAATGCCAATTTCCTCACTACACCTCCCTGCTGCTCTCTGCAGACCTCCTGGTTGGGCTGGGCCTGCGCTAATTATGACCTGTGCAGGGCTTTGAAATGCTCAGCTTTAGCCAGAGATGACCCTGCTGATTACCACTTTGGTGGCTGGAGCTCTGTGACTCAGGACATGGGAATGGGCTGCACAACCTCCCCTCCTGGAGGAGGCCCATCTTGCTTGATCCTGGCATTACTGTCCAGGCCCTCCTGGAAGGGATGCGGGCCTCACCCACCGCACGGAGGGGCCGTGGGAAACTGGGCCAGCCTGTCCTGGGCCAGGATCCTCTGCTCCCAGCCTGTCTGCTCCCATCAGGCCTTGCCACTTGCAGACTCCACAAAGAGAGGGAGCAGGACTGGCAGGCTGAGAGACCCTGGTCCTGACCCTGACTGTCGGTTTGGATGAATGCTGGTGAGAGAGTCATAAACTCTGAACACTGGCTGCTGGGAGACCCCTGAGAGCTTGTTTGTGTCTAACTTTCCCTGAAGAGCGAAGGTCCAGATGGGTGAGTTAAACTTACCCACAACCACCGAGCTGACGGGGCCAAGGCCGGGCTTGTTACCCAGGTCTCTCTTTCTTTCTCTCCCTTTCAGCTTTGTATTTAATAATACGAAGTTCAGACTTTCACAAAAGTAGAGAGAGAAGTAAAATGAACTCCTGCGTACTCATGACCAGCGCAGCAGTTACCCACTTCTGACCAGTCTTGCTTCATCTCTGACCCCCTCCTCCACAGATTTATTGAAAAATCCCAGATATTACATCATTTCATTCATAAATATTTCAATATGTGTCTCTAAAAGACAATGGAACTCGGGTCTCTCAATTTCTAGTCCAGTGCTCTTTTCACACTGCATCATGGTTGTGTTAATTGTTAATCATGCCTTAAATTGAATGAATGAATGAATGAATGAATGAGTGAATGTAAAACAATATTCCATCTTTATTCTTCCCAAGAAGAAGTTAGTTTCTAAAGTTCTAAAGTGATCTTTTAGAAGACCAGTACACCAAAGAGAGTTTCAAACCTTGGACCCCAAGTCAGATATCAGCGATCGCCATGCGTGGAGGCAAGAAAGCCTCTGCAGGCTGGTTTCTGACCCTGCTTTGCCCCTGACGAGCCATGGAACCCCCGTTTCCATGTGAGCCTGCCGCTCATAACTGACACATGGGTCAGGGGCAGTCAAACACGGCCCGTTAAGCAAAGCACTTTTAAACTCATAAACTACTCAATGCTGCTAAGGGAACATTATACAATTACCATCCCCAAATCACCTAGGAAGACACAGGAAATTCACTGGATGGCTCCCTGGTTCCTTCCTCACCTCCCCACCTTGTCCCCTGAACGCTGCATGTCACCCTCCGATGACTCATTGAGGATTTTTCTCCTGCCCAGGTCAATAGCAATGATGACAACGGTGTGATAGCTGGGAACTGGAGTGGCAGCTACACCGGTGGCCGGGACCCCAGGAACTGGAACGGCAGTGTGGAGATCCTCAAGGAGTGGAAGAAATCTGGCTTCAGGCCAGTCCGATTCGGCCAGTGCTGGGTCTTTGCTGGGACCCTCAACACAGGTACCCTAGCGTGTGACGTGCCTTTGCGGGGTCAGTGGGCAGCAGTGGGGTGCTCCATGGTTGTCCCCGCTGCCACCTGCAGTCTCACACCGCCCTTGACTTGCAGTGATGCGGTGTTTTGGGATTCCCGCCCGGGTGATCACCAACTTCAACTCAGCTCATGACACAGACAGAAACCTCAGCGTGGATGTGTTCTACGACCCCATGGGAAACCCCCTGGAAAAAGGCAGTGATAGCGTTTGGTGAGTGTCTAACCCAGCGGTTCTCAACCTGTGGGTCGCGACCCCTTTGGCGGTCGAACGACCCTTTCACAGGGGTCGCCTAAGACCATCCTGCATATCAGATATTTACACTACGATTCATAATAGTAGCAACATTACAGTTATGAAGTAGCAACGAAAATAATTTTATGGTTGGGTCACAACACGAGGAACTGTATTTAAAGGGCCAGAAGGTTGAGAACCACTGGTCTAATCCTTTCTGAGCATCAAATCTGAGCAGCTTCTTGCTCTCCCCAGGCTCTGGGACCTGGCTCCAAACAGGAGTTGGGAAGCAAGCAGCGTGTCAGTGCCTGGTTGAGAATAGGATTCCCAAAGTGCTGATGACACATCTAGCAAGACCCAAAACAGCTCTCCTCAGGGTTCTGCAAACTCCGGTGGTTTGCTCTGTTTTACAGCCAGGTGAACAGTCTGACACCAGTTCATACCCCATGTGATACCAGGTGTGGCTCAGGGGCTCTGAGAAACTGCCCTGATTTATAGGGTCCACAAGACCCTATAAATTAGAAGATAAACATTGAAGCCATTGATTTTCCAGTAATAAATATAAATTTATCTCATTTCAGGCAGGTCATATAATTTATAGACTTTCTTTTTAAAAAGCGATCTATTTTCTCTTACTCGTATATACTTTTTATGTACCTTGCTTGATAGAATAAAAATCAGTTTATTCTGGATTCCAACCGAAAATAAGAAGTTTTATATGTATATGGGCATGTATATTTCTAACCATAAATAGGCCATGTGCACATGTATCTGTACACATATGTCATGTATAATACATGTAAACTGGAAGTAAGTTATATAAAACTTATATACATATATCTATAACTTCATACTGCAGTATATATACATAAAATAGATATTGTTACAGCTCTTCAAGGTTATGCCACATGCCTAATTATTACCAGATGGCAACTGAAAGTAATTATGTCTATATCTGTATATTCAACTCGATATTTATGTGTCTATATATAAAGTACTCACATATGTCAGTAATCCATTTCAAAGGACACACACAAACACACAATCACTCACATATAGATACGGTAGATAACCTGAGAGCAGATGCCATCTTCTTTCCAGATGTTCAACTTTGAGATGGTCTCTAAAATATCCTTTAACACTCATTATTCCCAGAATAAGTAGGTCCCACTTTACTGGCATATGCTCGCTGTAACTAATGGAATAAAGGAAAATAAAAATTCATAGAGAAAGCTGTTAGGACAAGCAACAGCCCTGTGCCAACAATGGAAGTGTGTGATAGAAGCAGCCGCTCCCTCTGCAGGAAATCGAGGCTCATGAAAGTCACTCAGGGTCACTTGTGTTAATGGGGGAGAGAGAGCTTCTGATAGGATGTCCTTTCATGATCTGCACGTACACAACTTTCTCTCCAATGACAATGACATTGCTACTTTTGGCCAGATTTTGTTTTCCAGCTTCTCTTAATTAGTTATCTTTTCTTCTCCCTGGTTTCTTCCTTTTGTTGTTGTGTCCAAAATCCCATTGCGACCTGTTCTGGTTGTTAGGACAGTGCCCTTCTTCACTAAAGGAGATGACTGGTCCAACAAGATGACTGATTCAGGGAGCGGTGGCAGGGGTCCCGTTTGGCATAACCCTTCCATGACTATCCTGCAGACTAGAAACTGCAGGGAGACCAGAAAGCCCTCTACTGGAAGCATTCCTGGTGCTGTTAGGGAGCAGGGCTTGGGGAAGCCATGAGTAGAGGCTGATGAAGGACTTGGGGTGGTGTGTGGAGCACCAGGTGAGTGACTCAGGGAGGGAGTTGTCAAAAAAAGGCTCCCTGGGAGCAGGAAGGTGGGGCTTCTAAGCTGAACTTGGAATTAGAACCCAGATCTCTTGGTGACTGGTTCATATTAGTGTCATAATTCATCACAAATAGAATCAAGTAGGGTCCCATGGAGACATTCCAGGGTGTTTCCATTGTCATTTTGGGGGGGCTTCATTGGAAGGCGTCAGACCGCATAGCTCTGACTTTTGCTGGGAGTGTCATCACCCCTCTCCTTCCCAAGACCCACCATCCTTTCCTGAACCCTCCTCAGAGAGCAGTGGGAGCTGACGTTCCTCCGGCCCCTTTCCCTGCTGGCTGCGGGTGGGGACCCAGCACTGGACGTCTGAGGACAGGGAGTCCTGGGTCCTAGTTTCAACCCCACCACCATCTTGCTCTAGGACTTACGTAAGCCACCTCATCTTTCTGGTCCCACGTTTCTTCATCAGTGAGCTATAATGGTTGGCCTAAAACTAAGTGTTCCCTTAAGTTTCTTACCAGCTTTAATCTCTTGATTCTCTGCCACTTCAGCTCAGATGACTTTTTGTATGAGATGGCAAGGGAGCTTTCCCCTCCCCTCCACATGGATCCCACCCAGGGTGGGGGAGTTAAACCACCAGTCCTTTTCTGCCTGGGGTGAAATTACTAACCTATTATTACCAGGACAGTTTGGGTTTGGACAGAAAACCTTTGATCTGAATCTTCTATGTTGCAAATGTTGAAAGCTTTTAGAAATTGTCCAGACTTTCCCCAAGTATTAGAAGGTAAGAATCAAGTGAGATTAAGCATCTGAAAGTACTTAATAATATTAACAGCAACAGCTAATAGTTCGTTGAGCAACTGTTGTGTGCCAGGGACTTTTCTAAGTGTTTACCTTTACTCTTCAGAAATGATGAGGTCGGCACTGCCATCCCCATTTTATAGTTGAGAAAACCAAGACACTGGTCATTTACCCACGGGCATGGGACTAGGAAATGGTGAAGCTGGGCTTGGAACCAAGGTGATGTAAACTCTTCAGCACCAGAGAGCTGCCAGAGAATATTTTTATGACGACTCCTGACTGATGTTTGAGAAGTCTGACAGCTTAACTGAGATTTTTCAGAGGGGTTGCCTGGACACCAACCAGGGCTCTGAGTAGGTGCTCTCCAGCCCATCCCGATGGAGAAGCTGGGTTCTTGGGTTCACACTTAGGCGGCAAGTGCCACTTCTCTGTATGACTAAACCCTGTCTCAGGGGCTCAGTGAAGGGAAGTGACTTGCCCAAAATCAAACTGTGAATTAGTGTCCAAGCTCTTTCGACAGGACTCTCCTGGGTCAAAGGACGTTAGGGCTGAAAGGGACCTTAGGGAGGGACCTGCTCATTTCATAAATGAGAAAACAAAGGCCCAGAGAGAAGTAAGGCTAAACAGCTGGAGACATGTAGGCACTCTAAATAAGTGCGTGACTCCACATTAAGTTCCTTAACTTTTTTGCACCTTCATCTCCTATCTGGAAAATGAAGGGCTAGATTAGGGGACCTCAGCCATTTCTTCCAGATCTTTCTTTAAATCACATTCTTCTAAGCCAGGGGTGGGCAAACTTTTTGACTTGAGGGCCACAATGGGTTCTTAAACTGGACCGGAGGGCCAGAACAAAAGCATGGATGGAGTGTTTGTGTGAACTAATATAAATTCAAAGTAAACATCATTACATAAAAGGGTACGGTCTTTTTTTTTTTTTAGTTTTATTCATTTCAAACGGGCCGCATCCGGCCCGCGGGCCATAGTTTGCCCACGGCTGTAAATCTAAGCCATTCCACACATAACAATGGTTTGGCTTAAGAGGCACAAGGTTCTGGAGTGATTATGTCTTAAGAGTAGGGACGCTTTGTATGGAGTTATGTCTGGGATGCTTCTTTTATTCGGGCTCCCTTCTGGACCCCTGTACAGGAGGTCTCTGGGGCCTGCTCCGTAACCAAATGATCTGGAACTGTGTGGCCAAGGTTATCTTTATCTTGATATTTCAGACTTGTTTTCTTAACTTATCTTACTTGATTCCTCAGTTTCTGGAGTCACAGACCTGACTCTACTTGTAGACTTTGTAGAGGTACGAGGTGGAAGGCACGTGGGATCACCCTGCCCTGTCAACAGGGAGGTGGAGTCAGCCAGTTCTGGAGAAAAGCTGTTGGCACCCCACCCATCAGCCGAGTCCTTGGCTCCCAATGCAATCTCTCCATGGCTGTTAGTCTCCACCACTATTTAGCCAGCCCCCAATGTACCTACAGCCCCTTGCTCAGATTCCTGGTAAGGAAACCAAGGCCCCAGAGTAATTCAATTCAGAAAACATAAGTATGTACTGTCTACCAGACCCTGCACTGAGCGCCTGGACACCAAAAGCAGTGAGACGCAGGAACAACATTGGAGAAGTTCGTGGCTGCGTGAGAAGATAGGCAATTGTGGAGTAAAAGAAGTCAAATGTGCAAGATTCAGAGACAGCACAGGGATGGCTGGCACTCTCTGGGCATGTCAGGAAACGTTTTTGGAGGAAGTAGAATCTTAACTACATTTGGAAGGACCAATAGGAGCTTACCCGTGGGAAGTAAGGGATTGGGGTCACTTTCTAGACTGGGTCTTCTAACCCCACAAATTCAAAGATAAGCATGACTGAGTTGTTGTCTCTAGGGCACTGGTTTATAAACGTCAAAGATTTCATTAGAACTGACTCGGGTGGAGGGAGACAGGCGGGGCAGGAATGCATCTTTCAATAAGTGCCTACAGCCTGTCCTTTTCCTGAGCTCCGAGTACTAAACCCTCAAGACAGGAACAGGGGCTGGGAGTGTGGCACATACCGAGAAACAAACCAGAATTTCCATGGTGGCGCCCTCGGGCCTTTGAAAGGCACATAGTACATCCCAAAGAAGTGTGAGTAAAGTATTGGCTTCTGAATGAGGGAGGAACCAGGACTTGTTTGTTTATTATCTGCTCTTTATCAAATTCCCGCCTTGCAAATAAAACAGCTACTTACCTTTTTTTTTTTTTACCAACCCACCCTTCCCCTAGGGTTCTCTACCAGGAAGAAAACAAATATGAAACTTGGTGCTGTTACTGCTTTTTCATCCCTCTCTTGCCTCTTGTATCCATCTAGAAATGCATCTTCCCACACTCCTGCTTCTCCTGGGTAAATTCTAACTGATCAAAAAGACGTCTTGTGGGTCTTCCTAGAGATCATTTTTACGGTGGCTTTCTTTTCTTTTTACAATTATAGAAATTGCAGAATATATCGTCTGTACTCTGATGTTTAACATACTTTTAATATTTGATCATTTTCTATCCAATATTTTCTCTATGTGTTGTTTATAGAATTGGGATTGCACATTTTACACGGCATGGGTACAAGACAAAGCATATGACACATACATCCTTCTTTTTCCCACTCGTGGAAATCAACCACGTCACACAGTTTTAAATCCTATTTTTTTAACTAAACATTATCAGCATGTTCCCTCTGTCCTTAAATAATCTCCAAAAATAAGATTGAAATGTATCACATTCCATTGAGTGGTTGAACCATATCTCTTTCCCTACTGTTACCTATTTCCTATTCTCTATGCTACCTATCTATTTCCCTTTGTTTCCTCTTACTATATAAACACTGTAGTGAGCATTCTTATATGTCAATCTTGAGCATGCCTGTTTTTAGTCTCATAGAACGATTTCCAGAAATGGTATGTCCTGGGTTAAAGGAAATGCACATTTTAAAGGCCTCTGACATCTGTGGCTACTGCCTCCCAAGAAGATTATAATAACCTATACTTCATTACTGTAGTGAACAAGGGTATGCCTTCCTCCAAACTCATATCATTGGTTGGTATTATCTGTACTTAGCTGTGGGCTCCCCTCTGGTGGCCTTCTCCCTCTCTGCCTTGTTTTGGAGCTGACTCTTTAGTTCCCTGTTTCCTGCCAGATGCAGCAGGGCCACGCTGCTCCTGACAAGTATTTACGGAGCACTCGGACTCCTCTGACAGCCCTCGTGCACCGCAGCCTCTGGTCCCCACGGGCAGCCTCTCACAACACCCAAAATGAAAATAATTCTTCCCTGATAATAAAAAAATAAATAAGAAGAGTCATTAGTAATATAACTACCCAAAGAAAAATACTAATGACATTATAGATCCTTTAGACATTTCATTCTGTTTATATTCACACACATTAGATGTATGTGTGTTGAGTTTCAATTACCCAAATAGGATCAAGTTGAGTGGTCTATTTTATCTTTTTTTAGATCTTTTTATGTTAATAAATTAAAATTTAGGGGGTGTTGAGGTGCTGGGGGTAGAGGGATTGAGCAAAAAAGGCAAAAAAAGAGAAAAACTCATGGACATGGACAATAGTGTGGTGTTTACAAGGGGGAGAGGTAGAAGAGTGTATGGGGGGATACACGGTGATGCATAGAGACTTGACTTGGGGAGGTGAACACACAATACAGTTTACAGAGGATGTGTTGTGGAATTGTGCACCTGAAACCTGTATAATTTTGTTAACCAGTGTCACCCCAAGAAATTTAAAAAAAAAGGAATAAATAAATGTAGCGGTAGTATAGTGTGGTAGTTAAAGCAAAGGCATTGCAGCCCTTCTGCCTGGATTTCAATCCCACTCTCCCTCTTTACTCGCTGGGAGACCTTAAACAAGTCACTTACCTACTCTGTGCCTCGGTTTTCAGAATTGTCGAACAGGGATAATAATTCCTACCTTATAAGAACATTGTGAAGATTAAATGAGTTAACATATAGGGAAGTTAGAACACATGATAACTTTCTAGGTTGACACATAACGTATTAGCTATTAGTGTTTATATAGTATACACATTTTAAAATATTCATTTATTTTGTCATTAGAGTATTATAGAAGTAATAGAAACCGAAAACATTACAAAACATAAATAATGGAAAACTTAGTTTAACGTGCACCCAAATCTGTTCATAGGCACAATATATACACCAAACTGTTATCTAAACTGTGGTTATCTAAAATAATAGAATTATTGGGACTGATTTTTTTAATGTGTAATTTTCTAAATCCAAAAATGTTCATGATATTTGTATATATTTTTATAAACTTACACACCGTCACCTACATATTTTGTAACTTGCTTTTCTTACTTGAGGATATATTTTAGACGTCTTTCCCTGTACGTGCCAGATTGATTTTGCTCATTCTGGACAGCTCTGTGATATTTGATTGCATGGCTGTGCCACAATTTATCTGAGCATTCCCTCACTGATGAACTTTTCCTCCATTAATTTTGCTATTACAAACAATGCTTCAGTGAACATCTTTCCATATGCATCTAGGTGCACTCATGAGAGTGTTTTAATAAGAGAAATTATTAGAAGTGGAATTGCTGGCTCATTGCATCTACAGATTTGTAAAGGTTTTTGATACTCATTGCCAACTTGCCCTTCACAAATGTCAGACCAGTTTAAACTCCCACAGTGCACCGCAATGCTGGCTTTCCCCTGCCTGGAATGAGTATCACAGAACAATGCCCATCATCCTATGCTTTCATTTTTGTTAGTCTATCAAGTGTAATGGTATCTGTCATTTTAATTTTCTTTTAACGGTAGTGAGGTTAAAACGATTTTCACATGTTTAGTGATCATTGGCATTTCTTGTGAAAGTTGCCTGCTCATTGGCCATTATTGGCGCGTTTGACTTTTTACTTTGTGTATTTTTCTTATTGCTTTGTAGGTACTTTATAATATTGATTATAGTAAATTTCTGTCTACCATATATGTTGCATGTATTTCCCCCACTTTGTTGATTTTTCCCCCATCGTTTTCTCATTCGTCTTCAGTTTGAGTAATTTCTACTGATCTATCTTCAGGTTTACTGACTCTTCCCTCTGTCATTTCTATTCTGCTAATAAGCCCATCCATGGAACTATTTAATTTCAGATATTGGTCTTTTCTCCAGTTAAAATTTTCCATTAGACATATATATAGTTTCTATTTTTCTGCTAAGAATGCCTCTTTTTATCTGTTATGAGCATATTTTCCTTTATTTCATTGAGCATAGTTATAACAGCTGCTTTAAAGTCCTTGTCCAATAATTCCAACATCTAGGTTATCTAAGGATGAGTCACTATTGATTGTCTTTTCCCTTAGGATAAGTCCTGTTTTTCTGTTGTTTTTATATGCTTATATATAAGCATATTGAGTGATTTGGAATTCTATCGTAGACATTGGGTATGTCTGCATTCTGATATTTTGTATGTTGTCCCAGCTGTCTACCTGGGGTAGACGCAAACTGCAAGCTCTCTCACCTGTGGTGACAGAAGCTCAAGTCTCAGTGAACGTTTGTCTTTAGCTGGACTGCTTATAGTGGGCCGCATACCTGCATGGTTAAGAGGTCACCGAGAAGCATGGGCTTCTCTTTCTCTGATTCTCTACTTTCTAAGACTTCCCCCCAGTAGTTTGATGGGTGGGATATGCCAAGACTAATATTTTGAAATAGCCAATGTATCAGTCTTTTCCTTTATGGCTTCTGAAGTTGAGGCTCCTGCCTAAAACAACTTGTGAGTATTTTTTAAACAAATGTTTTTTCACTTGAAACAGTTGGGTTTATGTCAACTTAGTTTTCTTCTATTTGA